TAAAATTCAAAGCAGGCTCACATTAGGTTAAAAATTTATAGGTACAGGATATATATATATATATATATATACGACTGTTGGAATATGTAGGACTGTAGGAATATATATATATACTCCTATATTGACATAGGTGATAGTTTTTTTCCGGGAAAATTGTAAAAAAGTTTTCATCACTAAGATTCTTTCTTCCAAAGAAATGATTAGCTTGCAGATTAAACTGAGAAAGCGAATTATAAAGAAGCAAGCTAAGAGCGAGAAGGGTCGGGGAGAGGAAAGGGAGTGAGGACCAAAGTAATCAGGATTGTCGCTTTGAAGTTAGGGATCAATGGGCCATGCCAAACTGACTGGGCTGTTAGAGGATTGACTGAGACAATCTGCTAATGGCCCCCCTCCTCCTCCGACTCATAAGAATAAGATCTTCTATTTTGATAGGCAATGGCTTCCTTAATTATGGGCTTGCGACACTCACAACCGTGTTGAATAGTGTTCCGTTTGACTTCCTTCGACATAAAAACAATTCGTATACTTATTAATATTTTACAAATAAGGGATATGGCAGTGAAGTAATGAAATTTTTTCAAAAAAAGTGATTTGTTAAATTTGGCTATTATTTATTATTAATAATTCTGAAAGTAAGAAAAATTTGTCAAAAATCCAAAATAAAATTGTTTTGAATGCTTTGGCCATGTTTAGAAAAATACGGAAAATAGTTTTGAAAAAACCACTGCCGCAAGTATATTATCAGTACAGTTCACCTTCGTACTGTGTCGGTTCACCCCTTGAGATCTGTCGTCTGTGTGGACGGGCAAATGCAAGGTTAAAAGAGGCCGCCAACCTCTTAAACACAATTCCATTATTTTCCTATGGTTATTACTGTACTACCACGATTACTAGAAAACCTTAAGCTCTTTCGTTACCTGTGAAAATGTATTAAGAGGAACTCCAACAAAGCTACAAGCTCATTATCAAAACATGTTCTAAATGACTTAGTTCTATCTTTCCTAGTACCATTCAATTCCATCATTGATGATGTAATTTTACCGTTTATATTTTATTACGGGTATTTTAAGCCAGCGGCAATTTCGTACGATTTTTTCGTAAGATTACTTTCCACATGTTCTATTTCTTGTCTAAGTAAAAATTAAAAGATCAAAAGAAACTAAACTGTTTTAATGAAGACACTAATACAAGACAATATTATTAAAGAAAAGTAAATAAAATCATATGGTTAAATATTAATTCAATAACCATAGAGGTTAAACATCTTTCCCTTTGAGTTTCTTTTCAGAGTTTAGTCAGGAAAACGTTTCGTAGGTCTTATAATTCTGCCTCTTGATGATCGTTTTATTGCAGCTTCTTGATTGGGAGTAGTTGATCGTGAAAAAGGTTTACTTTTATCTTGAGTTATTCTAGATGGTGTAGTAGTTGTTCTTTCAGCAGTATTTGATAGGGAAGAGTAGGCCATTCAGTTGAGCAGTAAGATTTAATTACCCTGAGTTCTGAGCTAGCCCGCTGTGCCGATTCAATTCTATCAAGAACCATGTCAGTTACATAGGCAATGTTTCTTGTTACTGTGTGGATGGCCAGTTCAACTTCCTCATCTAAATCATAACTCTCATTAGCTGCTACAGGACTTCTTGAGAGACAATCAGCAGTGGCTAAATGTTTGCCAGGAGTGTATGTCACATTGTAGGAATATCTCATCAGACGAAGTCTTAGTCTTTGAAGACGGGGAGTCATATCATTGATCTCTTTAGTAGTCAAAATACTTACCAAAGGTTTGTGATCTGTTTCTAGCGTGATGTGCTTGCCCACAATGTAGTCTTTAAACTTGTCACAGCTCCATGTTAATGATAGAGCTTCTCGTTCAATGTTAGAGTAGTTTCGTTCGGTTTCGCTCAGAGTGCGTGAAATATAAGAAATAGGCTTCCAATTCCCATCTGATTGTTGTTGTAAAAGTACTCCACCCAGGCCTTGTGTAGAAGAGTCAGCAGAAATCATAGTCGGTTTATTTTTATCATAGAATGCAAGTTGAGGTGGAGAAGCCAATAATTCTTTCAATTCATCGAATGCTTTTTGTTGTTCACAACCCCAACACCATTCGTTTTTTCTACTTAGTAGGTCGGTAATGGGTTTTAGTAACCGGCTTTTGTTAGGTATGTATTTGCCAATGAAGTTCACCATACCAAGTAACCTTTGAACTCCTAAAATATCTGTTGGAGGAGCCATTTTTCGTATAGCTTCGACTTTGGTCTCATCGACTTTGATTCCTGATTCAGATAAATGGTGACCTAAGTAGGTTAGCGAGGTTTGAGAGAACAAGCATTTGTCTTTGTTTAGGGTGAAGCCAGCACCTTCAAGTTTGGTAAGTACTTCTTCTAAGAAATAGTCATGTTCTTGTTGAGTTTTCCCCCAAACAATTATGTCGTCCATATGCGCAAGTGCATTCATTTGACCTTTAAGGGTTCGATTCACGCATTCTTGGAACACTTCTGGTGCAGATGTTATTCCAAAGGGTAGTTTCAGAAATTTAAAACGTCCAAACGGTGTCAGGAACGTTGTCAAATCTTGGGATTCTTCGTCCAATGTGATCTGCCAGAATCCGTTATTAGCATCCAGTTTAGAATAGCATTTTGCTTCTGAGATTTGGGCAAGTGTTATGTCGATGGGTTGAATAGGATAGTATCTTCGTTTGACGCATCTGTTTAATTTAGTAAGATCTACACAAATGCGAACTTTGTTAGAGTCCTTCTTTGGCACAACAACCATTGGAGAGCACCAGTCTGTGGCATGGTGTACCTCAGCGATCACCCCCATTGACACCATTCTTTCAAGCTCTTCTTTAGTAGATTCCCAAAGAGGAAGAGGAATCCGACGAGGCGTGTTGATTGCAAATGGATTGGCGTTATTTTTCAGTTCTACTTTGTATTTGACATCAATGGAACCTAAGCCTTCAAACAGTTTGGGGTGTCTGTCATACCAGTCATTACTGGATGGCTGTATTTCGTTGATTCGAGCAAGTAACTGCAAACTTGTTATTGCAGGTTTACCTAGAAGTGGCTGGGAAGTGCCCTTAGAAACATATATAGTCTCATAACATGTTTTGTGATTATGTGATAATTTTACAGTAGCAGTTCCTAAAATTGACAGAGCTTTACCATTTGCGCCACTAAATGTTTTGGATGTGGGAGTGAGCCTGATTTTCTTATTCAGTTTAATGTCGGAAGGCAAAATCGTTACGTCTGCTCCTGTATCAATTTTGAAAAGAACATCATCACTGTCATTCATATTTAACACTACAGACCATGGATCATCACGCAAGTTTTTTCCTACAATGCCAATGAATGTTTGAGGGTCTATGTACTGAGAGCAAACATTTTCAATGGGTGTTTCAAGGTCAGTATCATCATATTCAATTTGACTGACTTTGTTTGATTTGCAAACATTTGGAAAATGACCAACTTTTTTACAAAACCCACATTTGTATTGTTTAGCTGGACAGTTGAATCTTTTGTGTAAAACTGTCGAACCACACCAAAAACATCTCTTTTCGACATGGGACAGGCTTTTATTGTCATTAATCCGCTTAAAATTTTGATCATTGTTTGATTTATTGGGAATAATGTTTGTCTTAATTAAATGTTGAGTATTTTTATTTATTAATGCTATGTCAGTCAAGTTAAGAGTTTGTTTCTGTCTTGATAGTTCTTCAGATCTACGGATAGTGTTTATAGCTGTGTTTAGTTTTAATTCGGGTTCAAGTTGAAGACGATCACTTAGTGTTTCGTCCCGCATACCAATAATCAAAACCATCAGAATCATCTCCTCTTCAATTTGACCCCAATCACAGTTTTTTGCATGATTGTGAAGGTCTGTGATAAAGTTCTCAATCGGCATGGAACCTTGTGTAAGTTTTAGAAACCTAGCCAGTTCAAAAATTAAGTTCTTTTTAGGAAGGAAATGATCGTCAAACTTCTGTATAACAGCTTTGAAATTAGATTTGTCATTGTCATTTAAACTGAATGAATTAAGTATGTCCTCTCCCTTTTCCCCCATACAGTAGATAAGCATGTCAATCTGATGCTTTCCAGAATGTAGAGCTAAATTACTAAGGGAATAATACCTCTCAAAACGAGTCTTCCATGTCTTCCAGTCGTGAGGATTGAAGGAAAAGGCTTCAGGAGGCTTAATGTTTAGGGATACGGGTTCTTCATTCGACTGCGCCATGTTCTATTTCTTGTCTAAGTAAAAATTAAAAGATCAAAAGAAACTAAACTGTTTTAATGAAGACACTAATACAAGACAATATTATTAAAGAAAAGTAAATAAAATCATATGGTTAAATATTAATTCAATAACCATAGAGGTTAAACACCACACAGTGGTATTATACTATCTACTATCACAAACAAGTAAACCATGTCAATGGATAAATCGAGTAAGTTGTCATTTCCAGAAGAACTCATGATTTACGAATTAGGAAATGCTATGAAATAAAACGTACACGACAATCCTTGTAAAATGCTGTTGTTGGTTGTGAGAGAATTTCTTTATATTGCATTTAAAGTTAAGTTTTCCTGCCAAACACTATTGAAGATAAAATGCGTGCAAAACCGCCTTAGAAAAAGTAGATTTATACATTCCTTTCTCATAGTGCACATGCCATATTGTTTACACCAAGATAAACATACTTCATGTGTTACTATTTCTGCGTAAGTAGTAAATTTACTACTCCCTAGATTGTATAGATTTCTTAACGATTTAATACAACCTACACTTAGCCTATTGTTGTCGTTGATAAGGTCAAGCTGATCTTGGGTTCTGTGCTCACTTGACACTCGTATGTCCCAGAGTCTCTGAGCTGTATGAAATGTATACTTAAACAAAATAAACTAAATTATAAGATCTTTTAAAAGTTGTCCAACCTGCTGTGTTGGTGTGTTGTAATGTGTTGTAATGTGTTGTAATGTGTTGTAATGGGTTGTAATGGGTTGTTTCAGGTAACGGGTACCGTGGCAGGCCCGGCTCAGAGTCACCGTACTACGGTCGTATTATCGGCCAGCTGCAAGAGTACGCCCATGGTATCAAGGGTACGGTGTACGCCGTTGACGAAAACACTATGTTCGTCAAGGGGTTTTCTTACGACGGCACAGGACCGGGTAAGTGAGGTGTATTTCAAAATACATTATATGTAGAAGTATGTTAAATCATATCATTTAACTTTTTACTACTATTTAATAATTTTTTCGTTTCTTCTTATAACCAATTCCAATTTGTTCGTGTTATTTGTAACCAATTTGTTCGTTAGTGTACAATCCTCACTAGTTAAATGGGCCAATAGTTAACTATGTAACATTTGATTTGATTTGATTTGATAACATTTATTAACCTGAAGATCGAGCCATAACTCAGTATAGTTTATTTCCATTGTAGCCCTATTATTGAGTTATATTCAGTGTAATATCTGCTTAATAGTAACAACTGTTGTTTTCCCTTTGTACTGTATTTTAATTCGATAGTATACTGTGGATGGCTTGTTATAAACACATTAACAAGTCTTTGGTTTACTTTTAGCTTGTCATTTTGTTCAACCAACATTGTTACTCAACCCATAAGGTGAATGTTAAAAAATGTTTACTTTCAATAATTTATTTACGTATAGTACGTATTTATTTATTACGTATTTAGCAATTGGATTTTTTTGTAGTTTTAACTGCAGTACACACGGTTTTAGGCCAGATATAAATTATTTATTACAACATTTGAAGGACATCGTCGAAGCCATTTTCGAGATCTTTCTACAAGCATACAATATAACAAGCAACCATTGCTGATATAACAGTATGGGATACAATCAAAAATAAAAATAAACTCAATCTACCAATCCACTTACCTTGAATAATGCATCTAAGACGATCACTGCATTCTTGTGTTGAAAATGTGTTTAACCTATTTAAAGTACATCTCAAATTTGATTTTTAAAGATTAACCAGATAAATGGTTCAATCATAATTTTAAGGATTTATTCCCGTTAACCTAATATTGAAATATTTAAATATCACAGGCCAAAAAAAAATTATTATATTGAATGAAAGCTGTTGAACAGAAATTTGAACTATTTTGCGATATTAGGCTTTTTAATAATTTGCACATTTTGTTTTCAGATGCGTTTTTCTGGGTCGGCAACACAGCCCGGCCTTCTCCTGACGGATACATAGTCCCCTACCCTGAGGACTATGTAGGAAGGTGAGTCTTTGTTGGATTCGGAATAGTCTTCTTATAACGTTAAATATTACAAGTGTAGAGATTGCTGTATCGTAAAACATAACCTTAATAATACAGGGTGATTACCGAGAAACGCATGTTTTTCGAATAACGAGTACTCAGGCAATTCAGAGAACAAATTATATTTATGAGTGGAAAAACAGTCTACACAATATGCAATTTCAGAACAAAACTACTTACAATTTAGTATTTAAAATTACATCTCCAAAATGGTCGCCTTCTGCTTGGTATGGAATTCCTTCATCAAACATTCCCTACAAGAGTTATCACACGTTTTGGTGATGTCACTTGGCCTTCTTACAATTCTAGATTTCTTTCTATGGGGGGTTTAAAATCTAGAGTTTACATGAACAAACCACAAACAATACAGGAACTTAAAGAAGTTATTCGCCAGGCCCCAACGCCATTCATAGAGACATGTTAGGAAAATCCGTAGCAAGTTTTAAGGAACGCCTTCAACACTGTATCCAAGCAGAAGGCGACCACCTTAGAGATGTAATTTTTAAGCGCTAAATTGTAAGTAATTTTATTCTGAAATTGCATATTGTGTACTCTGTTTTTCCACTCATAAATATATTTTTTGCTCTGAATTGCCTGAATACTCGTTATTTGAAAAACATGTGTTTCTCGGTAATCACCCTGTATTTATCTAATATTTTTCAATAAGTTGATAATATACGTTGCCAGTGCTGGGGGGGGGGGGCTTGAGGAGCTTCAGTCCCCTCCCCCTAATTTTGTCTATGTATGTTGTTGAATCATGTGTATTCTAAGGGTAAAATTCGTCCATGTTATTTCTCTCAGTCGTCGCTATTATTTGTTGATATTTGTATACACTTTTTATTCATGGAATAGGCTACATTTAACAATCTTGGCTGCGTCCCTGAAGTCGATAAAATAAGGATGTTAATGGTTTGAAACGTAAATTTATGAAATGAGATTTATGAAACGAATTAAGGAATGAAATGGAGTATATAATGTTGTGTGGAAGATTATGTCATAAAGTTAAACGTTTGTGGGGGTTTCTGTACTAAAATAAACCGTAATATTGTTTAAAAAACGACACTTTGTATGTAAGAATAAGGGTGGTGTAAGGAAAAATAGTCTATGTACAGAAATACAAATTTGATCACGCTCTCTTAATGTAAAATGTATAGGGATACTGTTAAAAATCTTAACAAAGCAAGTTTTTTTCGAACGAAAGCATTCAATGTGTTAAACAACTACTGCATAGCTCAAAATCAATCAAACCTTAAACATCACAATGTTTAAAGAATACATTAAACAGACATACGAGCCTCAGTTTAAACCTATTATCCTACACGACGTAGATTCAGGGGGGAGAGAGGGGGGGGTGAGAGGGGGGGGGGGTAAGTTTGTTTGCATTTCGACAAAGACACGCCAAGTAGAGGGATCCTTTTACATTCATCCCTTCTTTTTAATTTATTTCTCTAAGAAATCCAAGCTTCCTTATCAGTACCTATATTTACTGTCAGTCACTTTTCCTTGTTTACATTTAAAACAGCTCCTTTCCTTGCACTTTCGTTAGCTATTGATGTTAAAATATTGGTAAAATTTTTGATATAATGAATAGGCAATGTTAAACTAGGGGTCTGTAAAAATTGGTATTCAGGATAATTGCAATGTTATACCGACTTTGGATTTTATTTATTAATTTTATTCATCATATTAATTTTATTTATTGTATTTATTGTATTTATTTTAATTTATTTAATTGGTTTATGTATTTCATTTATTTGAATTATTTATTTTATTTACTTTATTTTATTTATATTTAAAGCTAACTATCCAACAAAGTGTACTGTTTTTTAAGCTATTGATGAAAATTACTCAGCATGATAATCATCGTTAATATCAGTACAGAATTACAGAAATACAGAAGGTGATACTACAGAAGGGGCTACGTGCAGTCAGCAATTTTAACCCTCTAGAAATTGAAAGAATTATTCAATAAAAAATCGCCTTAATGAACCATTATAACGATAAGGTAAGGTTATAGGGCAAGGTTAAGAGCCTATGCATTGATTTATATTTCTATTTTCTATAATATAGAAAACTGTATATTAATATAGAAAACTGTATATTATACAGTAATTACAGTAAAACACATTTACTGGCCATGCGAAAAAACCAATACACCTGACATCATCTTTGGAAGTCCCCTCGTCCCCTCGTCCCCCTCGACCCCCGCTCTCCCACGCACCCCTGCCGCTTCATTTTGCATTTTTGTTTCTCTCTCCAAATTAAGAGTCTTTCTTTTCTATAATTAGCTTCAAACATCTCCATTGTTTCAAAAATATAACTTAGAGACTAATTTTAATTTTGAGACGCACTCTGTAATGATTGAATTACTGTGAAGTTTATTTTTATAACAGTAGCAGTAACTTTGTTTGATATAATTTAACCTTAAACTCCAAATTTAAATTCACAAAAATTTTACTAATTGTTGTTTCTGGTCTTCTCAAGACAGTATGTATTAGCATTGACTATTGCATACAGAAGTTGTTGTATGAATAGTCAAAGGTATTAGGCTCACTTCTAAATACCGGTATTCATTTTTATGAGCTTTACCTAATAGTATCATTGAAGTATTTAACTTACCCAGTTTTGGATGCATAATGAGGAAAAGATTAAAATTAACGAATTCCAAATGATATAGAAGCATTTGAAGTGACTCCCATACACAAAATTTCATTTGTTGAAATAGCAATTTCGCAACAACCCCTACGTAAAAAAAATAAATTATGACACCCCGTTATTATAACATGTTGGGGACTTTTACTGTTACTCTTATTATAATAACAGTGTGAGTGTTTCTGGTAAAAAAATTTGCCAATAAACTGTAATAAGATCACAAACCACATAAAAATATTACTGGAAACAATGCTGTCAGTTTTAATACCACTATTTCAAATCGTTTGGAAATAGTGAGAATTCAGCGAGGTACCACCAGCATATTAGACTTGTCTGGGGTATGCAAGCGGAAGTGAAAAATCCGCGATTGCGGAACCACTATAAAGAGTAAACACAGGGGAAGTCTTCGTTTGCGAACGTCTCCAATAACCTGTGACGTCACGGCTGACAGCTGATGAGTTGGCCACCTGTAATCTGTAAAATGTAGTGAAACTCGAGACAGGTAATCCTCACTGAGCATTCATCGTCATGACAACCAACCCCCCCCCCCACCCCCCCCCCCCCACACACTGTATCTCGTACCGATATCCGCGAAAATATGTCCGTACATGTACGGTGAAAGTAATGTCGAATGTACACATGTATGCTCATATACACGGTGCAGTGATGTAGCTATATATGGATTGAACAATTTATCGATTAAAATACAGCTTTGATTTTGGGGTTTAAATTACGTTGAGTATAAAGGTTATCTACGTATTGATACTTGATTTTTTAATTTATAGTTTAGATAAATAAAGTAGTAAGTGCGAATTTCCTAGCATTTTCGGAAATAACCTATCCATGATAATGTATTATTTTAAGTACATTGTTCGGATGATAATATTGACTTGGTTCTTGATTAGATAGAAACCAGCCTATATTTTTTGTATTTCATAAGCCGAAATGTTTTTAATATGCAAATTTACACTTTTGATTAGACTGAGTGCTTTGTTTAGTACTACCAAAAGTTCGAAAATCTCTTTCGTGCAGTTTCTTGACTGAGTAATGAGTTATCCTGTTATCCTCATACGTTATAGCCCTGAATTAAATAGAATGATCATGTCAAAAGACATTTTACTTTGTAAAACATCTTGCAACATTTAATTCACATGATTAAGCTTTTTTAGTAATATTTAAACAAACAGCAAGTTGTACGGTCATGCGATCATTATGGTGTGAATGTACGACTTTGTAGTAACAGTGCTCGCAATATATTGTTAACTAATGGAAGATACGCCGTGTCCACTTCTCTAGTAAAAGAGTAAGTAAATAAACATATGTGTACCAAAGTAATCAAAGAAGGGGGTCAAAGAAATTAACTAACAATTGTACCACTTGTATGTATCCGACAATATTACAATTGTTTACAGACATTTCAACTTAACAGACAAAAATATAAAACAATTTGATAAGAAGGAAATAAACGGACTACGATTTCATCGAGCATCATCACCACAGTTGCACACTAAGTCAGTGCTTGGTGTTAAATGATCAGACTCTACCAAACACATTGTATAACATTAAACCTCTAGCATCATCACCACAGTTGCACACTTAGTCAGTGCTTGGTGTTAAATGAACAGACTCTACCAAACACATTGTATAACATGAAACCTCTAGCATCATCACCACAGTTGCACACTTAGTCAGTGATTGGTGTTAAATGAACAGACTCTATCAAACACATTGTATAACATGAAACCTCTAGCATCATCACCACAGTTGCACACTTAGTCAGTGCTTGGTGTTAAATGAACAGACTCTACCAAATACATTGTATATCACATGAAACCTCTAGCATCATCACCACAGTTGCACACTTAGTCAGTGCTTGGTGTTAAATGAACAGACTCTCTAGCAAAGTACCAAATACATTGTATATCACATGAAACCTCTAGCATCATCACCACAGTTGCACAGTTAGTCAGTGCTTGGTGTTAAATGAACAGACTCTCTAGCAAAGTACCAAATACATTGTATATCACATGAAACCTCTAGCATCATCGCCCCAGTTGCACACTTAGTCAGTGCTTGGTGTTAAATGAACCTCTCTAGCAAAGTACCAAATACATTGTATATCACATGAAACCTCTAGCATTATCACCACAGTTTAGTAGTCAGTGCTTGGTGTTAAATGAACAGACTCTCTAGCAAAGTACCAAATACATTGTATATCACATGAAACCTCTAGCATCATCACCACAGTTGCACACTTAGTCAGTGCTTGGTGTTAAATGAACAGACTCTCTAGCAAAGTACCAAATACA